GCCAGAGAAGTCTGTAACTCAAAAAGTCTGTAAGTGGAGCCGTCTGTAGGTTGAGAATCCACTGTAAATATCTTCCTGCTATGGGACTACGGTACTTTAGCTGGTTGGACAGCTCAATGGTTTAGGTATCTGGCTGTGGAGTTGAAGGTTGGGAGTTCAATTCTCTACTGTGCCTTTTGTGAGAAAAGCCAGCCTATGTGATCTTGGGCAACCTACACAGTCTCAGGGTGACCCCAGAAGAACGGGTTAACCACCTCTAAGTACTCTGTAGTACTCAAAAACCCTGGAAAGGGTCACTATAAGTCAGAATGGACTTGACAGCACATCGCTATTCATGGATTATTTTGCAAAGCACTTTGATGTACAGCTGTGGTTTGCCTCCAGCAGCGCACATGCTGATGATACAATGGTATTAACAAATTCTCACCTCCTTTATGAGAAAGGGTGTTTAAAGAAGTCAAGATACGCTGCTGAAAAACAATCTCTGCCTCTTCGAAATGTGTATGTGTCTGCATGAGAATGCAAAGATCAGTGTTCTGCTCCATCTACAGTAGCAGCAGCATTATGCATATAAAACATTAAATGAATTAGAAATTTTAAAAGTGACCTTTGCCCCAAACTTGCATTTTGTGCAAATGAGAACATTTTGTGCAAATTACAAGGTTTTGCAGAAATTACAATGTTCTCCATGCAAAATGTAAGGTTTCTTTGTTTGTGACACCCTTCTCATTTTCAGGTTTTGACACTTGGTAAATGATAAACATTACGATAGAATGCCTGTATACATATGCATACATCTAGAAAAAGTGGGCTTTTTGGTCCCATGATGGTGATGCTGGGGTTCTTTGATGGAATAACTGGCAAGATATAAACTATGAAAGACTGACAAAAAGTCTCTCCTGTCTAATATGATGTGAAGGTGTATAGATGAGCATATATATATAAGTGAATCAGTGGATGCTGATCCTGTCGATAGGGAGCTCCTACAATACATTAAAATCCTTGTTCAGGCATGAATGGGGACCCATATTTATTCATCCAGAGACCTATCAGTAGATCGTAAATTATTTCCTTTTTAAAAATCAACCACTGAATGAATGCATATTCATTGAATTGTACGAGTGACATTTGCAGGATAAAATAAACCTGAAAACACAGAATTTTGAAATTTATCTAGATTTTTAGTTCCCCAAATCTTCAGGAAACTTGACACGAAGCTCAGCAATCATGTCATCAGCCAGCATCATGTGCTACCTGGGAGCATATTTTGTCAAAACTTTTGCATTCAGTTTTTGAAGATAGGGGTTTTTTTCAGATCTAAAATCTAAATTCAAACCAGCTTGAATTCTGGATTGACAAAAACAGGGGGATGGAGGCCTTATTACCTGTGGCAAAGCTTGCTGCTGAAGACACCAGCATATTGAGCGGTCGCCCATAACATCTCGTACAACGGCAGGAGATAAGGAGGGAGAAAGCTGCAATGAAGCCTGCAAGGGTTGTGAGGATCAAAAGGATTCTAGAAGCTTTGAAGACATCTGCCAGGGAAATAAAGAATAAGCAATTCATTATTAAAAGGTCATGACGTGAGGGCGAACTCCACAAATTTTTGACAGGAGAGTTGGTGAAGTCAGACATTTTGGAGAAATAATTCTTGTCAGTCATGGACAATCCCGTCTTGCTTCCCAAAGAAGTATTGTTAGTCCCTGAGGGTCAAACTGGATGTTAAGAGGATCATGTATACACTACCGCTAAGCTGTTTCCTTTGAGTTTGCAAAAGCTGAGCAGGGCCGTTAAGGAGAAGACATTTGGAGGTTGCTCATTCATAGGGCTGTCCTAAGTCTGAGGCAACTTGACAACACAAAACAGCAGCTTGTTTTCCTACTGGTTATCCCACACTGAGATTCTCACAGGTCTCAGCTATCTGGCTTGAAAATTAAGCCCATGTTTTACTTCCCATGGCCAATCAGGACATTGTGCTGAAACAAAGCATGCTAAAGCCAAAGTTACATACATGAGGAAAACAAGTGCAATGACAATCAGACATCTTTTTGCGCTTGAAGAAGCACTTCTTCTAAAAGCATGCTAAGCCTGTTGTCTAGTTTGATAGTCTAAGCAGGAATCTCTTTTAGAGCCATTCACTCTGGGATTGCTTATTGTGGAAAATATATTCTTCCTTTCTTTATGAATTGCTAAGGGAGGCATACACAGATCTATTCAAGATACTACCAGGGCCTTAGTAATTTGCCTTGTTGAAGATTGAACTTCACCTTGCTTTGCTTTTTTTTCACCATGCCGGAGTCTCAGCTCTTATCTAGAACCTCCTGTATGATCTAGAACCCCATCTCAAAGCCTTCCATCTTTGTATTCTCGAAGGCTTTCATGGCCGGGATCTGATGGTTGTTGTGGGTTTTTCGGGCTCTTTGGCCATGTTCTAAAGGTTGTTCTTCCTGACATTTCGCCAGTCTCTGTGGCCGGCATCTTCAGAGGACTGGAGTAGGAACTCTGTCCATGCTCTGGCAAAATGTCAGGAAGAACAACCTGCAGAAGACGGCCAAAGAACCCAAAAAAACCCACAACAACCTTCCATCTTTCTTGAGGCTTAGCTTCACCTAGCTCCACACAACCTTTCCGTTTCTGCCCCAGTGCTAGCTGGGAGCTTTCTCAACAGGAAGCGTGATGGCGCTAGGCCTCGTTAAGCTTCAGAGCCTTACAGTAGAGGCCTTTCTCACAGGCGAGCCACGTTTCGGTGTCTGTGATGTCTCTGTCAGGTAAAACTCCCAGAATGGAGAGCTATGGAATTTGTAGTCTTAAGCAATCAAAAAATCCCATCCCTAACAACTGAAAGTTATTTCAACATAAAAAAACGTGGGAGTATCTCTTTTTTCTCCCTTGAAGAGAGCACACTAGCTTAAACCACATGCAAATCTGTCATTCAAGACTTCCCATCCCTCAGTTGCTTCTGACACTAGGGGCTGCCTCACTCTGCCTTATGGTGAGGCCAGCCCTATGTCATAATATCTACATCCTAAAAATTTCCCCTCAATCATGTTTGAATGGCTCCAGGTTTCTTACTGTTTTAAAAACCAGGCAGTCTAGCAGCGGAACAAGCTACTACGAGCTATCAATATAGTAACAAAAAGCAGGTTGGAATAGCTCGGTCTCGATCTTTCTTTGAGTGTGTCTATGTACATTCACACACTAGATGTGGAATAGCACATCTGCCTGCGTGTTTGGATTCTCGGCATCTCAATATCTGTAAATATGTGTCCTTGTGGCACCTAATTGTGTTCTAATTCAGTGGTCCCCCAACCTTGGGCCTCCAAATGTTCTTGGGCTACAACTCCCAGAAGCCTTCACCACCATCTCTGCTGGCTAGGATTTCTGGGAGCTGAAGTCCAAGAACATCTGGAGGCCCAAGGTTGGGGAACCACTGTTCTAATTTACAGCTAATCCATCATTAGAAGAAGGAAATCCTCAAGTGCTGATTGTGTGGGATTGTCTCAGCCAAAGCTTCTCTCACCTCCACATAGTTGCCAATTCGCTTGCTTTGTTCCTTCAAGCCTTAAGTCCATTCTTCCTTCACAAGTCTAATTTCTCTGAAAAAAATTCCTCCTCGTTGTAACTCTTGTAACTAGAAATGGGCACAAAATGAACCACAAACCCAACCAACCACCCAACCACCCCCACAAACCAGGACACAAAATGAACCACAAACCCAACCAACCAACCACCCCCACAAACCAGGCTAGTTTGTGGCTCATTTCATGGATGGTTCCGGGAACTGTACCCACAAGGCAAAAGAAAACCTTGAACATTTTCATTGTTGGTGTTTCATGGACACTGATGAAACGTGCTGATTTGTGCCCATCTCTGCTTCTAACATACCTGTTAGACTTTAGCCCATGTATTGATATAACCTGTGTGGTTTCCATATATTCTGTGGCATTGCTAAGCCCAGTGGTTTGTGATAACATCCAGTCTCCACGCAGTGTGGAGACACGTAGACATTCCGGCATCATCTTTGTTGCGAACAAGGCCTCATAAAACCATTAACTCAGGCATATGAGCCTTTGAGAGATGAATGCCATCTTTCATGTTGGGGGAACAGGCCAGATGCCAAGCATATGTTTCCGCCTGGGAACAATCTGTAAGAACAGAGGACTTAAAAGAATGCTATTTTATTTTGCTTTGCTTATGATGATTGGCATAACTTTCCATAAAAGCTACTCTATGCATTCTGGAATTTGGACTTCTGTGCTGACACCTGCATTCTGGAATTTGGACTTCTGTGCTGATACCTTAGGGTGTGTCTGTGTTGATTTCCCTGCTAGCACTAGTAAACACTTCCTGGCCCCTTGGATTTAATACACCTCTTGGCAGATTTTTAAGAGAAGTGTATTGACCTCTTCAACAGGAACAGCTTCTTCGCTCATGTCTTTTGAATACACAGGTGAATTAATCTCTAATTACAGGGTATTTGTAGCATATAATTTGGCCCTTAGTGGACCTGCAGGACCTATGAAGACTGGTGGCTTTAGTGTCAATCCAGCTGCTCTAGATTTTGGTCCAGCTTCGAAGGAACTTTCCAAGATAGTGAACATATATTTGGCAACACCTTGAGCTCAACACTTAGGAAAAGTCCTCTAGAGCAGTGGTCCCCAACCTTGGGCCTCCAGATGTTCTTGGACTTCAACTCCCAGAAATCCTAGCCAACAGAGGTGGTGGTGAAGGCTTCTGGGAATTGTAGTCCAAGAACATCTGGAGGCCCAAGGTTGGGGACCACTGCTCTAGAATTCAAACTAATACTTGCTATGGATTCACGGCTCTACTGACTTGGAGGCCCTTAGCTTCAGGACATCTAAAAAGCAACTGAAGCAGCTCTCAAGGGATTCAGGCAGCTGAAAGAGAAGGTGCTTCTGTATATGTGGGTTGAAGGCCAAGAACTTTGGGATGAAGCCACATGGCCTTGCTGGTCCTTACCACTGCTCCCATCCAGTTGACTGCAGGCCGCATTGATGCAGAGTTTGTGGACCACCGGGTTAAGACTCATGTCAGCTTTTGGCGTGATCATTTCCAGCCACGTGGGGCTCAGCAGGGAGACCACGAGGAGCACGAAACTGAGGCAGGTGGAGGTGGTAGTGGTAGCTCTGTGGTATAACTTCATACGGAGCCACTGGAAGATGCTGACGGGAGGCATTGCGGCTAAAATTAAGAATTTCCTGAGCACCTCTGGAAAGAGATGGAAACAATGAAGGCCTCTGTGTCCCACAAACCCGTGGCAATTAGAAGATCTGCCTCCTTCTACAAAGAGAATTCCGTTAATGAACTCCTTCACAGCTCCTTCTTTCCTCAGAGCTGTCCCACAATTTCAGTGTTTGCACAGCCATTTCCTGGACAGTTTCAACTGCCATGGAATCTTCATTCTTTTACTTGTGGAGGGGCAGGAGAAGGCTGAGGAGATGATGCTTAGATAGACAGACAGACAGACAGACAGACGGTAGGTAGGTAGGTAGGTAGGTAGGTAGGTAGGTAGGTAGGTAGGTAGGTAGGTAGGTAGGTAGGTAGGTAGGTAGGTAGGTAGGTAGGTAGGTAGGTAGGTAGGTAGGTAGGTAGGTAGGTAGGTAGGTAGGTAGGTAGGTAGGTAGGTAGGTAGGTAGGTAGGTAGGTAGGTAGGTAGGTAGGTAGGTAGGTAGGTAGGTAGGTAGGTAGGTAGGTAGGTAGGTAGGTAGGTAGGTAGGTAGGTAGGTAGGTAGGATAGATAGATAGATAGATAGATAGATAGATAGATAGATAGATAGATAGATAGATAGATAGATAGATAGATAGATAGATAGATAGATAGATAGATAGATAGATAGATAGATAGATAGTCTGTCATGATGCCTCATAGAAAAACCTCATAGAATATATAAATAATTTTAACTTAATATTATTCACATAATTCTTTGGCAACTGACAGCCTTCTGTGGACAGTGTTTTTACTAGATATATTGGTTTGCTTTCAAAGTAAAAGGTTCTAGTGCTTAAATTGAGATGTCTGTAAGTGATCTAAATGTTAACCATTTTCAAATGCTGTCATGGATTTACTTATGTTTTAGCATTTGTATATATATATTTTAAAATGAAATTAACTGAAATAAAGTTTGCCAAGGGCATGAAAGAGAGAACAACAAATGAGATTTAACAGTTTGATCTTTAATATATCTAAGAATGGGCATCGGAGCTATGATGTGAATCTATTTACTTCTCTCTCTCTCTCTCTCTCTCTCTCTCTCTCTCTCTCACACACACACACACACACACACACACACACACACACACACACACACACACACACACACACAGAAAGAGTTAGGCTGCTACAGTGTCACAAAATAATTTTGTGATTATTTTGATATTATGAACTGATACGTTAACACAACTTTGTCATGCCAGGACTGCTTCCTTTGAAATTATAACTTGATCCAACGGTTTGGTCTTTTCCTCTTCCTCCTCTTCCTCCTCTTCCTCCTCGCCCTCTTCTTCTCCTTCTCCTCCTTCTTGCTCCTGATCTTGTTGTGCTTCTTCTCCTTCTTCCTCCACAGTGTTTGAGGAGGCGGCGGTCCACTCTGAGGAGGAGGAGGAGGAAGCCAAGGAGCTGATGGTGCAGGAGGAGGTGGTGATGGTACTTTCTCCATCGGTCAAACTAGACCCATGGATCAATAATCGCTGGTGAGCTATCAGCCCAAATAAGCCTGGAGAGAGAAGGAAGGGTTAGGACAGGAGGTGGAGTGACAGGGCTGGCCCTCAAACCCTTTTTGCTCAGGGCAGAAGGTCAAACAAGATGGGACAGTAAACACACCATTTAGGAGTCAACAAGCACCTGTTTATCATAACATGAGATTGTCTGTGTATCAGTTGGTCATCAAGAACCAGCATGAGTGTGTTTTCATGCTCGTTTTCTCAGATATGTTGCTGAAAATTTTGTATGCCTGGTGGGCTAACCATGTAAGAGGAGAAACTGTACGTTTCACTTAATGTGTTCCCAAAGGTGGGGAAAAGCTGGCTCTCCAGATGGCTGTCAAGCTGGAGAAGGCAGCCCTAAGTACAGTGGTGCCTCACTTAACGACGATAATCCCTTCCAGGAAAATCGCCGTTAAGCAAAAACATCGTAAAGCGAAATAAAAAACCTAACTGAAACGCATGGAAACCCGTTCAATGAATTCCAATGGGGTAAAAATTCACCATCCAGCGAAGATCCTCCATACAGCGGCCATTTTCGCTGCCTGTATAGCTAGGAATCCGTCCCTAAACACAGCGGGGAGCCATTTTAATTACCCGGTGGCCATTTTGAAACCGCCAATCAGCTGTTCTAAAAACATCATTTTGCGAAGAATTGGAGGATTCGGAGGATTCCCGAAGCAGGGAACCGATCATCGCAAAGCGAAATTCCCCCATTTAGACCATAGTTTTGCGATCGCAATTGCGATCACAAAAAGATTGTCGTAAAGAGGATTCGTCGTAATGCGGGGCAATCGTAAAGCGAGGCACCACTGTAACTGATTTCCTAATTAGATGGCTCTTAATTGGCTCCTCATATTCAGATAAAATCCATCTCCTCACTCCGCACAACTAATTCCTATCAGAACAAAAGGACCCATCTTCTCACTGGATCCCACCCACTCATCCACCTGCACAACAAGGGGCAGTAAATTTCCTTTTTCTTACCACTTAGAATGAAGCAAGGACAGGTAGTCCAGGCCAGGTAGAAAGACCACTGATAGGTGATCTTGCCTATTCTGCTGACTCCGTGTGTAGAGATGCGAATGGTATAAATGCTCAAAGCTAAAAACACCAAGGCAGCTGTGGAAAACATGGGGAGAATGTCAGTGTACAACATCTTGAAACATTTCAGGAAGGCAGAGAAAAAAAAGAAAATCAATGACCTGGGTTCTATATTTTAGGTTAGTTTGTATACATCCCTTCTCCCAAAACTATGTTTGAGTAATTTTTAAAAAACAATAATAATTTATCGACACCACTCACTAGTTATTGCCGTTTGCCTAATGAAGTGGTCATTTTTATTCCACGAAAGCTTGCATGAATGGTTTGATTTTTAGTGGTCTTAGAAAGGTGTCACCTTCTTTTATAATTTTGTGTGGCTTTTAAGTAACTTAGAAGCAACAACTCTAGCTATTTCTCACACTTGAGAAAGCAATTAGATTAAATTACATTTAATTATGAACTTAGAAATGTTTATGATGAATATAATATTTCTTGCAATTGTTTCTAAGGGATTCATATAAACATATGTGAATTATAATATTGACTATGTAGATAAGATTAGACATATAGTATCTTCTTGTCTTTAGAAATGTTGATTTCTGATGATTTGTATTGGCCATGTTTAGATTCTATTGGTAGAGAAGTATGTTGATTTTGAAGATTGTAAAGTATGATACTCTGAAATATAATTGGATAGATGGAAATGCAGGAGAAAGAATCTATAAAAATTACTATAAATTTAGGATGTTAGATATTGAACTAAATATTTGAAATAGGGATATGAAATATAATATGCATAGACACATATGGATATAGTATGGTTTAGTATGGGTGTAGTGTATAAGGTCTGTTGTAGTCAGAATCATATAGCGGATAAGGTTGAATGTGAAATACCTCCCCGCCTATATGTTTTATTTGTTTCATATGTCTTTGATTGTTTCATATGGTTTGTTTTGTATGTATGTGTGCGTTATATAAATAAAATTTAAAAAAGATTTCTGGCTAGCAGATTCTGAGGGATGTAATTAGAATAAAAATTTTTCACAAAGCACCAAGTTATATTTAGGCCTGTCAAGAAACAAATGACAACATAGGACCTCATTAGATCAGGCCAAAGGCCTGTCTAGTTCAGCATTCTGTTCACATGTATATAGTAGCTGCTAAACATATGACCATGGAAAGTAGACCGCAATTTGCCCCTTATCTGATTTGTTGTGTGGCTGGATCTGAACTGAACGCAGTTCATTCTGCTTTGACCCAGACCGCACAGGAATCCTTCCAAACCAGGCCAATTTGGTTTGGAATGTGTAATTGAGCTGAAGCTGGCAATACAAAGACCCCATAATGACCTTGAAAAAAATGTGGCAGATGCAAATCAAGACATTTGGTTGGGTCTCAAGGCTGCACTGGCCTGATTCAATAGGTATAGCTATTCGGAGCATAGAGAGAGCTTTGTTATGCTGGTTTGCTGTGAACTTGTTAAAGACAGGAGTCATCAAAGTATACTAGAGGGAAATCCAAACCCAGCAATACACAGATGATTGAATACATATTCAAGCCTAGATATTTAAGAGCTAAGCACTCAAAAGTATTGCCTTGATGGGCAAATCTGCAGCTGAAAACTTGTCACTTACGCTAACACAGTGGTTCTTAACCTTTGTTACTCGGATGCTTTTGAACTGCAACTCCCAGAAACCCCAGTCAGGACAGCTGGTGGTGAAGGCTTCTGGGAGTTGCAGTCCAAAACTCCTGAGTAACCCAAGGTTAAGAACCAGTGCACTAACATTGGCCCATTTGAATCAATTGGAACCTACGGAGGATCTGACTCACCACATCTCTACAGATTCAATGGGCCTACGGTAGTGCAACTTGCTACTATAAGCTACAGGATTTCAACCTGTCAGTTTAGCTTTCTCTCTCTCTCTCTTTTTATAATCTCATGTTCTTTCATTTGCATTGATAAGAAATGAGTAGAAATTTAACATGCTCCATTAAAAAAGAAGAAGAAGAAGGCTCAGTGGTTTAGATCTCTGGCTGTGGAGCCAGAGGTTGGGAGTTTGATTCCCCACTGCTCCTACTTGACAGTTGCTGTACTTGATGATCCTTAGAATCCCTACCAGATCTGCAGTTCCGAGATGATGATGGTGAGGATTAAAGAAGAACAGAGTGAACTCCCTATCAATTCCCAGCTAAAGTCTACCACCAACCAGATCTTGGGAGATCCACAGTTTTGGGTAGATTGACAGCCTGCTGGGATGTACGAATGGACAGAGATGGCTTTGCTCCATCAAAGGCTGTCCTGGAAGGGCATTCACCAGGTGGCATTCACCTTACCTGTGATGAAAGATCCCATGGCAGCAACCTGGTAGCGGTACATCTCAAAACTTTCAGAGTAGCGGTAGGTGAAGGTCATAAACGAAGCACCAACAAATCCGCAAAAAATAGCCATGACCAACAGTGTCTTGGCTCCTTGAACATTGGCTGTGGTGAGTAGGAATGAGAGAGAAAGGGGGGAAAATGTATGAGTGGCTGACGGGGGAATAACTGAAGACACTGTCAAAGCTTTGGGACGTTCTGAATAGCAGGGGCTACAGCATCATCCGGTACCCCACTTGCAGGCTTCCCTGTTTCCTCTGAGCTTAGATACAAGCCACAGAATAGCTAGGAGAGAAATTTATTTTCTCAGGGATAGTATTTCTTTGCAAAGTATCTCCCTTTGTAATGCAAACTGTTTAAGGGTGGTTTGTTCCTGGACAGACCATCAGAAGCCATTGACTTTACAAAAGACCTGCTCTTCATTTGTTGATGTGGAGTATAGCTTACCTAAGACAGATCAGTACCTTAATTGATGTTTTCAGCCAAACTCTTCTGCAAGAACTCTGTCTGTCTGTCTGTCTGTCTGTCTGTCTGTCTGTCTGTCTGTCTGTCTGTCTGTCTGTCTGTCTGTCTGTCTGTCTGTCTGTCTGTCTGTCTGTCTGTCTGTCTGTCTGTCTGTCTGTCTGTCTGTCTGTCTGTCTGTCTGTCTGTCTGTCTGTCTGTCTGTCTGTCTGTCTGTCTGTCTGTCTGTCTGTCTGTCTGTCTGTCTGTCTGTCTGTCTGTCTGTCTGTCTGTCTATCTATCTATCTATCTATCTATCTAATTAAATTTATACTCTGCCCATCTAGACTGAAGTCTATTCTAGGTGGCTAACAATAAAAGATATAATAAAAACATATAATAAAATTAAAAAAAAAAACAGTATTAATATGGTTCAAGTTGGGGAAAAATATTCAAGTGATGGCAGGAGGGAATGCCTGCCTAAAGAGCCGGGTCTTAAGTTTGCTCTTAAAAACACCCAGCGAGGGAGCCAGACAGATATCTGAGGGCAGATTGTTCCAAAGTTCTGTTTTTAGAGTTATGGATATAAAGGACATCGTTAATAACTTTTAAAAGTAACTATTTTCATTCTCATTTCTCACAAATAACTAGGACCGCTTGTTTCTGTTACGTTTCAAAAAATCAATAGGCTACAAGCAATGGGCCTGTGGTTCAAAAGGCACTTTCCTCCTGTCCAGCTCAATATCACTTCAAGACCTACAGCAGAGTGTGAAGCAGCAGCATCGCGCACAGAACCTGCTAGTCTTTAAGCCATATGACCTTCTTTTTCTACCGGTTAAGAAAGGCGCTGTTCTAGAAATATATCCGTAGAACTTGGAAAAGTTAAATTTTTTGATTCACAACTCCCAGATTCCTCCAGCCAGTAGCGGATTCTGGGATCTGTCGTCGAAAAGTAACTTTTTTAACTCGATAAAAAAATTTAATATTTGATTGTAAAAAAAAAAGGTGAAAGTATTCTTCACTAGCCAACAATTATAGTGTAATGTAAGGTACCACAGTTACTGGGAGGAATTGGAAATCATTAGTTCCTTCTAGCTAGGTGTTTGTAGCTAACAAATTGTAACTAGTTACACCCAACCTCTGAGCCTGGGGATGTCCCCGGCTACGCAAAATAAGGGCAACAATCTCTTACGTGACATGGCGATGATGCTAGTACACACCAGCTTTATACAGACTTTCCAAATGCCGCTGTAGTAAACCTGCTTGTTGGACTCCACTAAGATCCAGTGGTGGTCCATGACTGCAATGACAAGCATCAAGAGGGTGAAGACGGTGAAGCCCATCGCCATAACTTCACTCCACGCCATAGCTCAGCCCTTGGGCTTGATCCTTCCTTCTGTCCTGGTTGGTCTTCTTAAGGCTGTTTCCCCCTTTCCCGGGGGAGGGGGGGAGGGTTTTCCCAACAGAATTTCTAGACCCTAATGAAAGGATCCACTTGAGCTCTTCTGAATTATAAGCAGCCCACGACTCAACATTCATAAGCTTCTCCTCTTCCCCGTTCTATTCCCGGTTCTATCACTTTCTCTTGGGTTACTGGGGCAACCACAGGACATTCTGGAACCTTAAATCAGCCAGGAAAGCTTATCCCAACTATATGAGTAGGCACAAAAAGAAGAGTAACCTACAGAGCTGGAAGGGACCCACTGGATCATCAAGACCAGCCAGCCCCTCTCAAGGAGGCACACTGGGGAACCGAACTCCAAGCCTCTGGCTTTGCAGCCAGATGCCTAAACCACTGAGCTATCCAGCAGTTAGTGCCTGAGCTCCTCTCTGAAAGTTTTAAGATCAGTTTTGCGAGGCTCATGTGCAATGTACTTCTCTCTTGTTTATGAATGTGGGATACTGTGCTTGTGTATATATGGTTCAAAAGACCAGGAAAAAACTAAAGGTAAAGATAAAGGTTCCCCTTGACATTTAGTCCAGTTGTGCCCGACTCTAGGGCGCGATGCTCATCCCCATCTCCAAGCCATAGAGCCAATGTTTGTCCATAGACAGTTTCCGTGGTCACGTGGCCACCATGACTAGACAGGGAATGCCGTTACCTTCCCACCGAGGGGGTACCTATTTATCTACTCACATTTTTTACATGCTTTCAAACCGCTAGGTTGCCGGGAGCTGGGACAAGTGACGGGCGCTCACTCCGTCGCGTGGATTCGATCTTACGACGGCTGGTCTTCTGACCCTGCAGCACAGAGGCTTCTGTGGTTTAACCCACAGTGCCACCACATCCCTTTAGGAAAAAGCTACCAACCTGCTGGTGCAAAGAGAGGAATGGAAGCAATGACTCATGTTATTTTCCATTTCCCAGTTTCACTTGATATTTAGAAAACCTTTATTGAACCTTGTTTGAAGTTGTTTCCTGGACGTTCTGAAGCATAGTGTACCCTTGCATTGCTTTCAGGGCCACAATATAATATGCTGTTTAATATGGCTAGATTTGCACAACTGGATTCAAAACTCATGAAAGAAGAGTTTTAATAAATGTATAATTAGATTCAATCAACAGCAGCAACATTCAAGGGAAATATATTCAGTGTTTATCTATGTTGCTAGTTTTTAAAAAAAGTTATTTTACTTTTATGTTTTTACGGTGATACTAATGCAGGTTCTTGGAAGAGCATATGTCATGCATTTATGGTTTATTTGTAGTTTGGATATTGGTTATTGACCACAATAAATGTTATTTGTCTAGTACTTTCTCAGGCAAGGGTGTCCTTGGCTGATTTATTCAAAGGACAGCATGCCTAAGTTAATTGTTTTATGAGGCCTTATTCGTAAGGAGGAAGATCACATAGGGAGTACCTTCACACTGTGTAGAAAATGGCTGCTACTCATAATACACTGGGCTTAACTATCTCATAAAGAGACTCACAAAGAGAATATGGCTCATTAAGAAACTGACGGCATACACCAAGATCTAGGTCTATAGAGCCTGTGTCCTGAGCACACTCCTGTACTGCAGTGGGTCCTGGACCCTTTGTGCACAGCAAGCTAGGGAGTACCTTCACACTGTGTAGAAAATGGCTGCTACTCATAATACACTGGGCTTAACTATCTCATAAAGAGACTCACAAAGAGAATATGGCTCATTAAGAAACTGACGGCATACACCAAGATCTAGGTCTATAGAGCCTGTGTCCTGAGCACACTCCTGTACTGCAGTGGGTCCTGGACCCTTTGTGCACAGCAAGCGAGGAAGCTGGACACGTTCCATATGCGTTGTCTCCAACGCATTTTTGGTATCACCTGGCAGGACAAAGTTCCAAAGAGTCGTCCTAGAATGAGCTGGAATTTTTAGCATATATACATTACTGAAACAGCGACGTCTATGTTGGCTTGGGCATGTCGTGAGAATGGCTGATGGTCGGATTCCAAAAGATCTCCTGTATGGAGAATTAGTGCAGGGAAATCGCCCCAGAGGGAGACTACAGTTGTGATACAAGAATATCTGCAAACGGGATCTGAAGCCCTTGGAAATGGATCTCAACAGATGGGAGACCCTGACATCTGAGCATTCAACCTGGAGGCGAGGCGGTGCATCACGACTTCTCCCAATTTGAAGAGATCCCCCATCTCTTCAGGCAGGCTTTTAACAATTACAACTGAATCCCTGAAACTCATTTCAGCAGAAATTTTAATCTTTTTTTATGTTTTCATGTTTTAATCTTTTAATAGTATTTTATTCATATATTGTTTGATTTATTTTTTAAGATTTAACTTATTGTGTTTTGAAATTGTGTGAATTTTAATGCTGTGAGCCGCTTTGGGTCCCTTGTTGGGAGAAAATGCGACATATAAATAAAACTAATAAATAAATAAAAGATTTGTTGTGTTTAATTTTTTTTTCTGAAGAGGTGCAACAAATCGCTCTAAGGGGTCTCATCTTTACTTTACTTTTATTAGACTTGTACCCCACCCCACCCTAGACAAAGTCTACTCGGGGTGGCTCGAAATCCATGCAACAAAGGAGCATCCATCCTAATCTTGTACACTTTGTGCTATCTGTACAGTTTTCCTTAAACCATAAAAATACAGTGGTGCCCCACATAGCGACATTAATCCGTTCCAGGATTAACGTCGCTATCCGGAAACATCGCTATACGAAAGGTAAAACCCGATAGGAATGCATTAAACTCTGTTTAATGCGTTCCTATGGGGAGAAAACTCACCGGTAAGCAAAGATTCCCCATCCGGCCACCATTTTCACCGCCTCGGTAAGCGAGGGCAGGGCGCGAAAACGTTGCGGGTGGCCATTTTGTTCTTCCGGTGGACATTTTGGAACCGCCGATCAGCTGTTTTTAGAACATCGCAATGTGAAGATCGGTAAGCGAAACGCTTACCGATCATCGCAATGCGATTTTCGCCCTTTGGAATCATCGCAATGTGATCGCAAAAAACGCATCACTATGCGGATTCGTCGTTAAACGGTGCGCTCGTTAAGCGAGGCACCACTGTAATGAAGAAGAAATTCTTATTGCAGCAGCAGCAACAACAATGTTAGAACAGCAGAGCTGGGAGGGACCATATGGGTCATCGAATCCAACCCCTGCCAAGGAGGCCGAGTGGGGATCGGAATTTGCAACCTCTGGCTCTTTAGCCAGAGACCTAACCCTCTGAGGTATCCAGCAGTTCTCTTCTCTTAGGAACATAACTTGTTGAAAATATCTTGCAGGGTGAGCAGAACAATTCTGTAATTCCTAGCTTGGCATGCAAAGACAAAGCAAGAGGTGCTGGCTTTGAAAACAGAAAAAAAAGAGAGAATTCCTACACCTGAGCAGAACCACTGTCCACAACTACACATTATGCTGCATTTCATTTCATTTCATTATTTCATTTTATTTTATTTTATTGTGGAGAATCGTTTTGCATAAAATGTAGAATCCTTTAGAGAGAGAGAGAGAGAAAGGTGCTTTGTTTGTGCCCCTTTTCCCTTGTTCTTGCTCAAAAAGCAAGAAAATTCACAGGATAACATTCTTTATCAAGGCGTCTTGCTATCCGAAGGCAGCCTAAAACTGACCACAGTGAGGAATTTAATCTGTATGCCTCTCTGGCTGAGAACGGCGCACATGAGCCTTCACCCTGCTTTTCAATACCTGGTTTGTTGCAACTTTGAAATTCGTGCAAAAGACAAGACAAGGCTTACGAATGCTGACCATATCCATCTTTAATGGGGGAAAGGCATCCATACAAATATTTGGGAATTCAGCAAGGAAGAGAGAAAATAGGCAAACCTCTCTAAATGTTTGGAAGATGGATGGCAAACATCTCCTTTACGAGTGGTCTTATTTAGCTTCTTTGTTTGTCAGAAAGATAAGAAGTGGAGCCACAACTTTAAAAGAGAGAGGACATACTCAGTGAAAAGTTCAAAAATGCTTGCTCTAGTCAGGTCTATGTTTCTTTTTCCACAGAAGAATGACTGCAGGTGAATGAAAAATGTTAGTATTTCCAAATGTAAACATTGATGCCTAGTTGTTGTTCCGATGGAATGAATTTCATGTTTTCCTTGAGGGTTGTGAATTTTATACCTAACCCTGCTTTGTGAAAGATTGGGAGAATTGCTTATGCATGTCTTTGAACACGTCCCTTCCAAACAGAAGGAAGCTGTGCCCATCGTAGTTCTGTATTCCCCTTAAATGACCGAAATCGGATCCCTGGGTTTCGGCTTCAGGTTCTTCTTTGGACCTTGTATGTTGAGGACTTCTTGAATTTCAGCCAAAACAAACAAAATCCCTGGGGGGTAAAATGGAGACAATTTCAACGTCTTTGTAGAAACAGAAAGCTCCTGGCCTCAGCCCTCCAAACTAGTGGCTTTGTGGTACTTCCTAGAGCACAAAATGTCCTCTATTGCCACCCTAACCTGAACCACAGCATGGCATTTCTTTAGAACAGTCCTATTTTGCTACACTCACACGACAGGAAAGGCACAGCATTTAACCACACCAGAGCCAGACTACTGACTGGGGCCAGCTTCAGCGAGCATATAACGTACACTGGCTACCAGTCCATTTCCAGGCCCAATTCAAAGTGCTGGTCATTACAGTGGTGCCTCGCTTGACGAGGATAATCCATGCCGTTGAAATCACTGTTAAGCGAAATCCTCATCAAGCGAAATTAAAAAGCCCATTAGAATGCATTAGAAACCGGCTAATGCATTCTAATGGGCGAAATACCTCATGGTAAAGCGAAGATCCTCCATAGGGTGGCCATTTCCAGTGCCTGTCTTGCGAAAAATGCCTCCTAATAACAGCGGGGGGCCATTCCATCTAGTATGGTCAAAATGTACCTTTGCTAGAAAATAAGGCTAAGTTGGTGGGAGAAAACCTCATTGCAAATCTATGTTGCCAAGGCTACCCAAACGCTCGTTGGTCCTAGGGTCAGAGCTGAGACAGGTGTCATCAGCTGAGAAGCTAGAAATCCTTGCTGCAATAGCGCTTGACTGCTGGTTGATGACCTGACAGAAGATTTGAGGTGTGGGAAGGAGGTGACCTTATCTACCTGAACATTCGCCTTATGATAACAGAGAGGCTGATCCTGAAGGCAGCAGTCTTATTCATCTCTTTCAGCAGGTACAGCAGCAACAGAAGCAAAACAGACAACACATAAACGTTTCTGACACCTCTAAGACTAATAAATGTATTTCAGTCTCTACCGCCATGAATCACAAGTCACATTAAGCGGATGTAATGTAGCCCACTAAAGAATATTGAGCAGATTTTATATGGCATACATTCTAATGGACTGATGAAGTGGGATACAGGCCATGAAAAGGTGTACCAAATGAAATCTGGTCAGGTAGCATCCTCTCACCAAATGTGGAGCATAACGGCCCCACACACTCCCCTTGGTCTCTAGGTTGCATTTGTCACGACTAGCCATTGCCCCATTTAATGTCAATGAGGTGTTTTGTTTGTGCAAGGGACTGATGGAGTCCCTCTTCTTGGACAACCCAATGTTGGACAAGAAGTCTATGGTTTCATCGCCTGCACTGCTACCCATATGGCGACCCACCCTTTCTTGCATGTTATCTGCCAGATCTCTGCCCACAAATAATGTCTCTTCCATCTAGTATGGTCAAAATGTACCTTTGCTAGAAAAAAAGGCTAAGTTGGTGGGAGAAAACCTCATTGCAAATCTATGTTGCCAAGGCTACCCAAACGCTCGTTGGTCCTAGGGTCAGAGCTGAGACAGGTGTCATCAGCTGAGAAGCTAGAAATCCTTGCTGCAATAGCGCTTGACTGCTGGTTGACGACCTGACAGAAGATTTGAGGTGTGGGAAGGAGGTGCCCTTATCTACCTGAACATTCGCCTTACGATAACACAGAGGCTGATTCTGAAGGCAGCAGCCTTATTCATCTCTTCCAGCAGGTACAGCAGCAACGGAAGCAAAACAGACAACATACAAACGTTTCTGACACCTCTAAGACTAATAGATGTATTTCAATCTCTACCACCATGAATCACAAGTCGCATTAAGCGGATGTAATGTAGCCCACTAAAGAAATTGAGCAGATTTTATATGGCATACATTTTAATGGACTGATGAAGCGCTAGTGATGGAAAGAGGAACCGTATGTTGGTAAAATAGCAAACTTGCATGCCTCTGGCACTGGGTACTAGTAGGGTTACAACCTCAGGCTTACAACCTGAGGTGGTGGTTCTTTGTCAGCAATTTAATGGGTAAGGTTCTTCCCACCTCTGGCACTGGGGCCAGCCCCTTCTTTCTGTTTCCTGGGGACCCTTTGATTTCATTCATGGTCTCCCTTTGCCTCCATTGGAGAAGCCACTGTGCTTTTTTCCATCTTTATCCCATTTTTCTTTGTGACTGCAGATGATAAGTGTGAGTATATTTACTTTTCTTCTACCACAAGAGGCATTTTAAGTGACTTTTTGCTACAGAAAGAGCTAGAATGGTGTTCCATATTCAGGAAGAATATGGGTGGTGTTCTTTAGAACAGTGATCCCCAACCTTGGGCCTCCAGATGTTCTTGGACTTCAACTCCCAGAAATCCTGGCCAGCAGAGGTGGTGGTGAAGGCTTCTGGGAGGTGTAGTCTAAGAACATCTGGAGGCCCAAGGTTGGGGACCACTGCTTTAGAACACCATCCATATTCTTTCAGAGGCCACAAGTCTCTTGCTACATCAGACTAATGTGACTGCCCACCTCATGGGAACGCCTATGATAATTATCCATGCTGCTCATGCCTCCATCCTTTTGATGCTTATCACCCAGTACTCCTTTTCACCAATCAATGTCGCTTCCAGCATCTCCTGATTGCACACCTCTTCTGCACCTATTGCTCACATCCCTCTTCCTCCTTCTCTCCTTTGGCCACGCCATGCTTAGGGAACTTCGTATTCACTCACCGTTCAACAGAAACAGGAAACAGGCGAAGCAGCCCAAAATGAAGGACCAGGAAACATAAACCGGGAGATCGGTCACCACGACGGAGGAACCAAATATGTTGTTGGGTTTTAGTGACAGGTCGTACAACAACATCGTGCCGAGCAACAGTAGTCCTGTGGGTGCAGGAGAAGAGCAACATTTAGCCGCAAGAATGATGAAGGCACTTTCCTAGCTTCCGTAGCCAAGAGGGAGATCCTACCGCAAGCCTTCAGAGCTAAACATCTTTTTTCAACCCTGAGGAAGACTCGACTGAGGGATAAAAAAAAACAACCTCATTCAGAAGGAACTCTCTACTTCCTCTTCCCGTGGCCTCCAAGCCTCAAACCGTGGCAGACACTTGTTCTGCATGTCTGAGGTAATCCCCAGCCGTGTCATTTCCACCTTGCAAAAGACAGGAATTAAAAAAAGAAAGAAAGAGAAGGGCCTTTTAAGGATTGGCTGACAAAGAGATTTTTAATGGTGGGTAGATGGTTCCCTGTTCTTTTCATTTTTTTTTAATTATTTTGAAACAAGAGGGGTACAATCAAAAAGAGCAATAGGAAAAAAGAAAAATTCAAAGTAGCAAGGTCAACCATTACACCATGAGCATATAATATTCAGGAAAATATTTCAGGTACAGCATACTACAAATTCAAGAAACATTAAAATAAACTATAGATGGTGATTATCGTGTAAGCTTAGAAAATTGTTTAGGCAACAAATATCAAATACAGTATTGCATATTTGGAAATATGACGCTATGTACCGTTTTGAATTATATGTAAATTTTATACATAAATGTATTTAGAAATGATAATGTAGTATTACATTGCATTATTACATTATTCGCTAATTATAATGGTTTCGACTTGTAACATTGTTTAGTATATTTTCTATAATCGCCTGTAATCTAGACTAAATATGTTTCATTGTTCATTTAATTTATTTATTTATTTATTTATTTATTTATTTATTTATTTATTTATTTATTTATTTATTTATTTATTTATTTATTTATTTATTTATTTATTTATTTATTTATTTATTTATTTATTTATTTATTTATTTATTTATTTAATATCCCGCCTATCTGGTCTTGCGACCACTTTTGAAAGGATTTCAAAGGATACTTGTGTCCTCAGTGAGCAACCCAATTATACACAGGCCTCCAAAATTTATTGGGACCCCCCCCTTCCAGCATTTTGCCACCTAAGGGCCGGATGCATAAATTCAGGGGAGAAGCATTTCAGCTTGGGAGTAATTAATGCCCCCTTGCCAAGGATTCTCTTTGTATATTCAGATACTTGAGTATTCAAATAATTGACTATTCAGAGCATGAGAGCTGGCACACGTTCCTGGTCATTTGGTTGGTCCTTATAGAGGTAGCACCAATATGTAGATTTTGAATAGGGCTGTTCCCCCCCCTTTTTTTTTGACAAAGCTGTAAAAACAAACTGAAGCGGGCACCAGAGGTCAAAGCAAAGAGCTCAAAAACATTGACAGGGCAGGGTGACACCCCCACGGATGTCTTGTGTTAATTCTGACATTCATGAATCACAATTAGAAGTAGAAGAGAGAGAGAAAACAAGGAAGATGAAGGAGAGTGTGCTCTTTTCCTTAGTAATGGATCTTTCTGCCCCCCCTTTTTTTTTGCTGTTGAGTAAAGTCACTGATTAAGGACATGGTGGCACTGTGGGTTAAGCCACAGAAGCTTCTGTGCTGCAAAGTCAGAAGACTGGCCGTCATAAGATCGAATCCACGCAACGGAGTGAGCTCCCATCGCTTGTCCCAGCTCCTGCCAACCTAGCTGTTTTAAAGCATGTAAAAATGTGAGTAGATAAATAGGTACCACCTCGGTGGGAAGGTAAACGGCATTCCGTGTCTAGTCACGGTGGCCACGTGACCACAGAAACTGTCTTCGGACAAAACGCTCGCTCTATGGCTTGGAAACGGGGATGAGCACCGGCCCCTAGAGTCGAACACGACTGGACAAAAATTGTCAAGGTGAACTTTTACCTTTACCTAAAGTCATTGATTAAATCATCAAAGTCTCTAGTCACAGCCCCACTAATTTCAGATCCAGAAGAGGAGAGGGAAAGAGAAAGGTCAGAAAGTTATGGAACAACAGGCTCTCTGCGTTGCCCTTTTAAGAAAGAATCAAAGAGAACTCTGCACACTGCCCATTTAACGTCCCTCCCTCACTCCCTTCCCAGTGGAAACTGACCGGGACCTTCTTCTGACATCTGGAAAAAAGGGGAAAGTAAAACAAAAAGAAACAGGGTTCTCAGGGCTGCCTAGTTCTGCAGGTCCTGCCTTCAGTCAACAATCTGGCATGGTTTGTGTTTCTCCAAGCACAGGAAGGTGGGGTTTTATGGAGAACTTGAAATGCAAAAGTATCATCCTGGACCCAGAGAAGGCTGATGTTGGAACATTTCCAAAACAGCAGAGGATGGATCACCTGCGCACCCATTAGGTGAGCACAGAACAGCTTGGGGAAGGCCTGCACAGATCTCTAATGTGGAGCAGCTGATTCTGAACAAATAAAAAAAAATATTATTTAAATCATTACCTGTGAAAAAATTGGTAAAAAGAGGTGCTTTGGATTTTCTGAGGCTGCTTAGAAATGCACAGGAGACTGCCACCAAACCACTGAGGGCACACAACGAAATTAAGACTTTGATCACCACAAGGATTTCTGGGGGAATCGAAAGTGGGAGACAGTGAGAGAAACATGGACATCGATTCTTAGCATGCTACAACAGACACAGAGTTGCCCTTATACACATCTGCAGTCACAACCGCAGCTTGGTAGATTTTGAAAACTCATCATTTATCATTCACATTTAATTGTTATTTATTTTATTTATATCCCATTGTTCTCCGGGGGGGGGGGTGCAAGGCTATGTACAACAGTTGAAGAGTATGTATGCTTAAAATTATATACAGTGGTGCCTCGCAAGACGAATGCCTCACTGGACAAAAAAACCGCAAGATGATTGGTTTTTGCGATTGCTATGGTGCCTCGCAAGACGGTTTCTTCTATGGACATGCTTGNNNCCCCCCCCCGAGACCAGTGCCTCGCAAGACGAATAAATTTAATTCGTCTTGTGAGGTTGCCCATAGGGAACTTCGCAAGACAATTTTTTCGCAAGACAGCGGTTCTCGCAGAACGAATTACATTCATCTTGCGAGGCACCGCTGTATATATAATATATATAATTTTAAGCATACATTCTGTTCAACTGTTTCTCTACTTAGAAAGCCCTGGAAAGGTCTGCCATAAATCAGAATTGACTTGACAGCACACAGTTAATTAGTAAGCCTTCAGTAGTTTCTCATTCAGATAAAAAAGAGAGAGGTTTTTCTACACTTCTTACCAACCAGGAGCATGTGTGCATGAGAAAGAAAATATTTCCATGAGATCCCATGCACCTTTGAATGTTACAGATCCAGCGGGCATAGTGCAGCTCAACAGAAAGAGAAATGAGAAACAGGGATAGCTTACTGGCGGCTCCCACATATTTCCTGCAGTTTTTGTATCTGCACATAGTCCAGAGGCCCACATTGATCGTGTGCCGGGTGCCGACGACCACAACCCAATGGGGAGAGACCATCGCAGTGAACAAGCAAACAAGACCCAAGAAGCTGAAGATGCGGCCAAAGGACTGGTAGCGAAACACCAGCTGTGTGTCTTCAGAAGAGTTATTGTTTCCTGGGGGGGGGGACAAACAAAACGAGATGCTCATTTATTTATTTCACCAGAACATTTACCTCTTTCCCAAATTGGAAGCAGCTTAAAAATTCTACACAACACATATCTAAACATATTATCTGAAGAACCCATAAACTACCAGTATAACCCATCCTCCAACAATATACATACATACTAGAGATGAGGAAGAATTTCACTGTGCTCTTGATTTTTTAATTTAAGAACTTTCAGACACTCACACATTTTGTATTCTTGAAGGCTTTCATGGCCAGGATCCGATAGTTGTTGTAGGTTTTTTGGGCTGTTTGGCCATGTCTTGGAGATTTTTCTTCCTAATGTTTCGCCAATCTCTGTGGCCGGCATCTTCAGAGGACAAGGAGTTAGAACTCTGTGTTCTGGTGTAGTGTGTAGGATAGTTGAGTATTTGTAGCTGTGGGATCAGGTTTTTGTTCTTTTCAGGAGATTGGGTGATTATGGTGATCGGGGTGTTTTTTTGTTATGGGTATATTGTTGTAATGGGGGGGAGATATGATCTGTCCCTGTGATTGATGGGTGTCGTTAGCTAGTCTTTCCAAAGCAACAACCACTCACACATTTTCTTTTCTTTTTATATTTTTCTATTTGCATCTAAAGCAACTTTATTGAAATACAAGATGCAGAAACAAATATGGAAATGCAGCGTATTCATCACAATCATTGTTTACAGGTCTGTTGTTCTAGTACGCTGCCAAAAGATTTTCAGCATTTTCATTTTTCAGCATTTATTATTTAGGGATGAAAATAATTTGTTGGGTTTTTTTAAGTGTTGGCAAAAGAGAAACTGATGGCCCCTATTCAGTCAGGGTTTTGAATAGTTTAAAATCTGAATTTGCACAGCCTGTGCGAAAGGGACGTGGTGGCGCTGTGGGCTAAACCGCAGAAGCCTTTGTGTGCTGCAGGTTCAGAAGACCAAGCAGTAGTAAGATCGAATCCACGCCACAGAGTGAGCGCCCGTCGCTTGTCCCAGCTTCTGCCAACCTAGCGGTTCGAAAGCACACAAATGCAAGTAGATAAATAGGGACCACCTCGGTGGGAAGGTAACAGCGTTCCGTGTCTAAGTCGCACTGGCCATGTGACCACGGAAGATTGTCTTCGGACAAATGCTGGCTCTATGGCTTGGAAACGTGGATGAGCACCGCCCCCTAGGGGCATCGTCGTCATCGTTGTTGTTGTTGTTGATGTTGCAAGAGCCTCATGGCACAATGGTTAAACTGCTGTACTGGAGCCAAAACTGTGCTCATGACCTGGGGTTCAATCCCAGGGACTGTAGCCAGCTCAAGGTTGACTCAGCCTTCCTATCCTTCTGAGGTCGGTAAAATGAGTACCCAGCGTGCGCGGGGGGAGGCAATGTGTAGCCTGCATAATTAACTTGTAAACTGCCCAGAGAATGCTTGAAGCAGCATGCTTTGCTTTTTTTTTTTTTGCTTGATGATGATGATGAAGGACTAGTGATTACCCTGTTTCCCCAAAATAACACCCAACCTGAAAATAAGCCCTAGTATGATTTTTGAGAATGTTCATAATATAAGCCCTACCCCAAAAATAAGCCCCAGTGAAGTGAGACCACCGCCTTCTGTGCAGCAGCCAGAAGAAGATGACATGACTGTCTATGAATCAATGTTGATTGTTGTGCATGAAAAAAAATCATCCCCTGAAAATAAGCCCTAATGCATTTTTGGAGCAAAAATTAATATGAGACCCTGTCTTATTTTCGGGGAAACATGGTATATCATCATCATCATCATCATCATCATCGTCATCATCATCATCATCATCATCATCATCATCATCATCACGCACACTCCCAGCCTGACCTTTCTCGGGAAGCCTGGGGTAGATAAAGCTGGTGAGGCAAGACAGCCATAAAAAAACCAAACCAAACCAAACAAAAAACCACCAACCTTTCCCATGCTTACCTGTTCCCATCATATGCATCTTGAGGTGCAATCAGAGAAAAGGCCCTATCAAAAGGGACAAACAGAAAATGAACCGTCAGGTTTTGAGAAAGAAAGGTTTTGAGAACACACAGGTGAACAATTTCCAGTGTTAAAACACTACTTGATTTCACAAAACCCCAGTTTTTAAATACAGTGGTGCCGTTCTAGACAGTTACCCCGCATGACAGTTTTTTCGCTAGACATTGACTTTTTGCGATCGCTATAGCGATTCGCAAAACAGTGATTCCTATGGGGGAATTTCGCTGGACAATGTTTGGTTCCTGCTTCGCAAACCAATTTTCACTATACAACAATTTTGACAGCTCCCTCCGTGCTCGCAAAACAGGTGTTTTCGGGACCTAAGCTTCGCAAGACAGCGATTTAAACAGCTGATCGGCGGTTCGCAAAGCGGCTTTCCTACGGCCGATCTTCACTAGACAACGACGATTCTTCCCCATTGGAACACATTAAACAGGTTTCAAAGGATTCCAATGGGGAAATGCTTTTCGCTAGACAATGATTTCGCTAAACAGTGATTTCAGTGGAACAGATTATCATCATCTAGCGAGGCACCACTGTAAGTACAGAATCAGTTGTTAAAAGCCCCTACCTTAGCACCTTGTTTTGATAGATGTCTCCCTTAGTGAAAAGGCCTATCCACCAGTCGTGCTTCTTAAGATTCTTGCTGGTAGGGATCAAAGGTGACCACTCCTCCAGCCAAAAGCTTGGGCTTCATGAGACACTTATGTTTCCTTGGAACTTCAGCATTGCATCTCAGTTGCCTGGAATCCCGTCCTCAGGTTCCAGATCACTCTCTAACTGCCTTAGAATGCTTTTCTCTCACCACCTCTCAGAAAAAAACCTCCTTCCCACTCACTTAACCTGTGATCACGACCAACTGCAGTTAGAAGCTCTGTTTCTAAGATCCACGATCTGCTCCTGGTCTCTAACAACAAAGGAATGTCAAATATTAAACATTTCGAAAGAAAAACAGAATTTTATTTTTTATTTTTTTGGTATATGTACTTGTGAAAGGGAAACAATTTACCACCAGAGAAGAATCCATTTATTTCTGGAGAGGAATAGCGCAATACAAAATGGAAAATAAATAACTAAATAATAATATAAACAAATAAGATAAATAGCACTTGCAAAGGCTTTCACGGCCAGGATCTAATGGTTGTTGTGGGTTTTCCGGGCTCTTTGACCGTGTTCTGAAGGTTGTTTTTCCTAACATTTTGCCAGTCTCTGTGGCCGGCATGCTGTCCTCTGAAGATGCCGGCCACAGGGACTGGCAAAACATTAGGAAGAACAACCTTCAGAACACAGCCAAAGAGCCCGAAAAACCCACAACAACCAAGATAAATAGCAACAAGGGGGGGGAGTTATAAATATATGTTATAACTGTGTGGAGTTTTTTTAAACTTTTTAAAATTACTTTATTATTGTTTGTAGGTGAACACATGTTTTGTTTATTTGTTGTTACATTATTGAAAACTAATACAAATATTTTCTCTCTCTCTCTCTCTTGGGCACCCATCTTCACCCATTCACAGTTGACACCAAGTGTTTGTGTATGTGTGTGTGGTGTTTTCACAGTGTTAGCATAGCAAAAACTCATGAACGAGGCTAAGGAGAGTGTTGGTGGGGCCTCTTATGCCATTTGGATCAAGGGAGGAATGAAGTTATTGGATCCGAAACCGGCTGGCTCAGAAGCAGGCCTGTTCTCTTGCCACCTTCTCCCGCCCTGTCGCTGTGCCAATTCAAAGATTCATTGCCAAAAGGCTTTTGATTCGCGCTTCCCTTTAGGAAGTACATAGAAGATTGGAGTAAAAGCAAGCAGTTCCTTGGCATTCACGTGCTTTTTAAATTACTCCTGCCAGAACTGGGATTTCTCAGAGCAAATGAGAAAAGAGAAGATGTATCTATAGAATCCATGACATCACTTGAAATATCACAAAGGCAGGCGTGGACACTATTCGTGGCTCTGAGTGCTAAGTAGGCACTCTAGCCATAGAGGGAAGCACAGTGCCATTTGTTATCGGATGCAGAAATCTAACAGGAATTTGAGGCGATGATCAGAGTAAGATGGGCTTGCCAGTTCCAAGGGCCAACATGCTGTTTGCTGAATGCCTTTGTCTCTTGCTCCACCCCTCTTTTAACTCTTGCGTGGCCCTGCAGAGGAAGGCACTTCATGGACTTGCCTAGAGGCCCTGGAGAAAGGAATCTGCTAGGACTTCCAAGCAGAACTGGAGGAGCCAGAAGGCAAGAGTCAAGCACAGAGAAGTTCCTTTCTTGCATACTAACTCTGCTCCTTTCACTCGCTGCTCTTCTGTTCTGCGTCAGGAGACACAAAGAAGCATAACGAATGCCCTAAGACCAGGAGACTCTGATTTCCACTTAGACCATAATTGTTGAGCATGTTTATCAGACAGTATTAAGATAGGCGAGCAGCAGTCTAGTGAAGCCAGTGTGTGCAAGGTCAAAGTACCAGAAGTTTCTTATCGCAGAAATCATGTTATATGGGCCAATTCAGATTTCCCTCCTCACTTGGAACATGTCTGCTATCTATAGATTGGTTACAAAGGAAAGAGATACATGTATTTCCCCAGCAATATATTTGTCAGCCACATTGGAATACAAATAACTTGGGGAAGGGGGCTTGGTCTCATACAGGTAATTCAGACCCATTAGCTTTACAAAAGACCCACACGGAATGAAAACGGTTAGGTTGGTTGATATTGATCAATGCATCGTCCTGCATTTTTGAACTGCTCTGGAGATATGGCTGTGTGGAGTGTCAGGATGATTGTCTGCAGTTCGAATTTTACCAAGTTACAACTTCTGGCAAGAACTATTAACTCCGTGCTCAATAATACAAGCTTCCCCTCTTTCCTTCAGCCAAGGAGTGGGGGCTGGCGACTCCAATCTCGTGGGGGTGCTGAATCCATTCTGTTTCGTAGTCTCAATTTTAGAGAAGCTATTTACAAAGCCAAAACCTATCCCCAACAAGAGGCTTGTGGCACAGTGGCTAAACTGCTGTACTGCAACCCAACTCTGCTCACAACTTGGGGTTCAATCCCAGGTAGCCAGCTCGAGGTTCACTCAGCCTTCCATCCTTCTGAGGTTGGTAAATTGAGTACCCACCTCACTTGGGGCAGGGGGAGCCATGCGCAGCCTGCATAATTAAACTGTAAACCGCTCAGAGAGTGCTTTGGTGTGGTATATAAGCAGCATGCTTTGCTTTTCAGCACTTTGGATGCCATCTATAAAGTTCAAACTAAAACCTGGAGCGGACTAACCATTCTTTGATCCTCCTCCTTCAAAATATCCGAGGAGTGCCCTTCTCCCTGTACCTGATGTGGAGGAAATAATTATCCTAGCTTACTGTGCAGGATTGTCATTCTGAGAAAAGATGGTGTTTTGACTATTCTCAAACATAAATGCCAAGTATTAGCATCCTTGGGATGTCTGACGCTGGATTTTCCTCTTCCTGCAGTGCATTGCCAAGATCTGTCCAGCAACATTCCAGAAAAGGACACGCCGTATCTTATCCTCTGTCAGCTTTGCACTGCTCATAATTGCCACCGGATCACCTTTATTGCTGTGGTACAAGTCCTCATACGGTTATTTCTTCAGGGGTCTGTGGACTGTTTGCGACCACTTAGGGTGCATTTCGCTTTTCCACAGTGGTGGTAAGAGATGTTGATGGTTTAATTGTTCTTTTAAAAAAAGAACTGGGTCAAATGGATTTTTCATTCCCCAGGTGGGGGAGGGCAAGAGGAGAAGGCAAGCCCGTAAAGCTGAATTGTTAATTAGAGTAGGACCCCCGTATCCCATATCTGTAGGGTATGGGTTCCAAGCCTCTCTGTATATGCTGAAAAGCATGGATCAGAGAACACACCCTATTTTAATAGTGAACACTATGCATAACGTGATCTCTGGCTCCTTTCAGTGGCCGTTTCTGGTAACATCATCTTTAGAAATATATATTTTTACGATTTTTCTCTTAATATTTTTAATATTTTCAGACTGTGGATAAGTGAATCAACAGATCCTGCAGATAAGGAGTCCTATTATATACTAATTATATGGGCAAATGAACACACATATATGAAATGTTATCAATGTTCAACTATTTTGAATCTGTTTTATAATATGTTTTCAACTATTTTGCATGAGACATTCTCGTTTTGTTCATCATGTCGAAGTACACTTGCACTTACCTTTTTTTAGATTATAGAGCAGCACAGCTTTCAGTGTGCAAATCCCGCCTGTTTATTAACTATTCTGGATAAGGGAGAATGCAGGCTTAAAGACTGATGTGGGGGAAATAAGCATCTTTTCAGAGGATATTTTAAACTCCCTACTAGCAAGGTTAACATAGCTGATGTCTGAGTGGAGCAAGCCCTCCAAATATGTAAAAAAGTCAAAACAACTCCAGTTTTAAATTCAAATATGTTTACCAAAAAAAAAATCAAGCCCAGAGAAGTTCAGAAAAAGTCACTTATATAAGAACATGAATTTTTCAGAGGATATTTTAAACTCCCTACTAGCAAGGTTAACATAGCTGATGTCTGAGTGGAGCAAGCCCTCCAAATATGTAAAAAAGTCAAAACAACTCCAGTTTTAAATTTAAATATGTTTGCTTTAAAAAACCAAGCAAAGAGAAGTTCAGAAAAAGTCACTTACATAACAAAATGCACAAATGAACCAATAGCTAACTTAAATGGGTCAGGATCCCGGGGACCTTAGAATCATCAATCCTGCTGTGCTATGTGGTTTTTAATCTGAATCTTTGGCTGATTTTCATGACTTTTAATGTATTTGCTTACTTTTAATTGTTTTTATCATGGGGCCAGTTCATATGATGTTGTCATTTTTTTAAGCCAAATGTAATTTCATCTATTTTAAAAAATTCTTCTTTTAATTTGATTGATTGATTGATTGATTGATTGATTGATTGATTGATTGATTGATTGATTGATTTGATTGATTTGATTTGATTTGATTTGATTTGATTTGATTTGTATCCCGCCCATCTGGTTTATGCGACCACTCTGAGCGGCTTTAATGTATTTGTTTACTTTTAATTGTTTTTATCGTGGGGCCAGTTCATATGATGTTATCCATTTTTTTTAGCTAAATGTAATTTCATTTATTTTTTTAAATTCTTAAAAGAATTCTATTCTTTTAAAAGTTTGTAAGCTGCCTTGAATGCTATCTTTTGCCGGTAAGACAGAGTATAAATGTGGGGTGGGGGAAAGTAATAAATAGAAGTTGGGAGGAGCCCCAAGGAACATGTCGTCCAGTATTTCCCAACTTTGGGTCCCCAGATGTTCTTGGACTAAAATTTTCAGAAGCTTTCACCACTTGCTGTGCTGGCCAGGATTTCTGGGAGTTGTAGTACAAGAAGGTTGGAAATCCAAGGCTGGGAACCACATTCTACCCTAACCCCTCCCAATGCAGGAGTCCTATAGCCCCAGCATCTCTGTCAGATGGCCCTCCATCCCAAAACGTCCAATGACAGTGAATCCAGCACCCTCCGAGGTATGCCATCTCTCTGTCAAACAGTTCTTGCCATCAGGAAGTTCCTCCTAATATTTAGTCAGAATCTCCTTTACCATCATTTGAATTTGAGTGGTTCAGGTCTTGCCCTCTGGCACCATGGGCGGTGGGGTGGTGGTGGTGGGGAAGCTTCATCCATCTACCACATGAGACCATCCTTCAGGTATTTGAAGATGGCCATTGTATCGCCTCTGCAGCTTTTTTCGTTTGTTGAAACATCTCACCTGAACTGATAAGCCCCCAAAATAGCTTTTGAGGGAAAGAGATCTCCTGTAGGTCAAGGAGAACTTTGCTGCCAATATCAAGATGACATTGGTGGTATATTTTAAGGTATTCCTAGTGGAAGAGGTTGGGGATTTCCTAGAGAAGGAAATACAAGACCATCAACCACATTAGTTGATCATTTACCC